ACATATATATATATATATAATATATATATGTATATATATATATATAATATACCTAGGGCCACTGCAGAACTCATAGAGCTTGCCACGATTGGAGAAAATGATAAGTCCAACCTCAGCGTCGCAAAGAACCGAGAGCTCATAAGCCTTCTTCAGAAGCCCATTCCTTCTCATATATATATATATAATATACCTAGGGCCACTGCAGAACTCATAGAGCTTGCCACGATTGGAGAAAATGATAAGTCCAACCTCAGCGTCGCAAAGAACCGAGAGCTCATAAGCCTTCTTCAGAAGCCCATTCCTTCTCTTTGCAAAAGTGACTTGCCGGTTTATCTTATTCTCAATTCTCTTCAGCTCCACCTTACCCCTTCCCATATTCTCTAGCTACCTAAATTTATATTATGATCTATTAATATTCCTCTTTCCAAATTCAATATTAATCCACTAAACCTTGTACTATCCTTATATGATCTTCTTCTTCCTCTTTAGGGTAAGCTTTCTGCTCCTCAGATCTTTTGAGAACCCGTACGACTACATATATATAGAGCCCTAAATATATATTTATATAGTAAGCGATCCCTAGAGAGAGAAGGGGAAAAAAAAAAAAAAAAACAAGTTTTAGAGAATAATATTGTGCTAATCCTTCATGGGGTTCTGTTGGCTCGTTGGTTATATACTTACATTTATATAATTAGTTTTTAAGACGCCAAGAAAAGTAAAAAGGGAGACGAAACCGGTACAGTTACTATTACCAATTTTACAGTTGTTTCTTATACTTAGGTTATTATGTAAAGATAATTTAAATAAATAAATGCGTACAGTTCCTCTGACTTTCTACTTTTTAATTTTCGTTTTGTGTCTTTTACTACACAAAGTGATGAAATACGTCAAGTCTAATCCTAGACATTCCTATCTTTAGGGTTGCTACGTGTCAACATTGCAACGCTGATGACCCCTTCTGCCATAACAAGTGGCTAAGATTTTACCTTCTTGTGGACGATTATGTCCATTATCAGATTAGTTAATTGGTATGTACTCCCGGTGAAAAGAAGTCACGCCTGCAGCTGAAAATTTGAGCCGACTCAGATAGGATTTGGCAACCAATCGGGATTTTCAAGCCGGGCCGCCCTAAAAGAAAGAGGGCCGGATGGAAACCCAATTGTCGGTCCTAAACTTAATAAAGAAAATTTAAAAATTCTTAATAAAAAAAAAATCTTAAACCGGTCTGGACTTTAACCGAAAACACTTCTGAGCCTAGACTATCATTCATGTCTAAATATTAAAGTATCGTTCATTTTATCAATTTAAATTTTATAATAGTATAAAATTTTTAAAAACAGTCACATTTAATTTTTTTACTATAGTAAAAAATTCTTACATAAAGTCGCATATCAACTTGAATTAAAAACTCGAATCAGCGAATTAAACGGGCTCAAATCGGATTGGAATCGTAGTAATATAATTCTAAAGTGCTTTATTTTATTTTTCTTTTTTCAGAAATTGTAGTAAATAATAGCTTATGAAACTAAATTAAGTAAGTAACATATTTTAAAACTATTTAAAGTACGTAATAATTTATCGTGTAAATGTTTCATTTGTGATTGGTAAAAAAAATAATTTATGTACTAAAAAATATTTATTTACATAAGAAAAAATCTTTTTACCAACCGTGAAAAGAAAATTTACGTAAAAAAAAAATATTTTTATTAATTGTAAATAAAATAATTACACAGAAACTATTATTTATTTTAAATAATTTTAAAATCTTTTATTTATTCAATTTAGTTTCATAAATCAGCAATTATATATACTACATTCTCCTTTTTTAAAACTAATTAGTACTTCAATTTTGATTAGAACATTCTCTCTCCATGAAGAATCCGCTTTGTTTATCAAACCTATCTCCCCGTTCTCTCATAGGCGAACCACTAAAGCATCCTTGACCAATAGTATTATCAAATGATCCTCAGATAGTACATGAGTCTAGAATTTTATCTCTTACTTTTAATTAATATCCTTTTAGTCAAATAACTATATTAGTCAAAAGGATATTAATAAAAAGTCAAGGATAAAAATCAAGACTAATGCACTCTTAAAGTAAGTTCAATAATTCTCTCATTACCCGAAAACACTTTGGGCCTAGACTATCCGCCATGTCCGAACACTAAAGCAGACCAAGTCGGACTGGGGTCGTAGTAATATAATTTCTAAGAGAAAATTGCTGAACTTACCCTTAGAGTACATGAGTCTAAATTTTTATCTCTTACGTTTAATTAATACCTTTTTTTGTCTCTTACGTTTAATTATTTGATTAATTAATACCCTAATAATCGTCCTTCCCTTTGAAGAAATCCCTATATCGATCCTCATCTTTCAGCTTTTCGTCATTACAAGCGAAGTCTTCTAACATATATAGTATTATGTATATCATCAAGTTGGTTGATCCCGTTGCCGATAGAGACTGATATTTTTACCCTACATATAAAATACAACGTTTCTATAATATATTATGTTATATTAAGAAAAAAAAAATTACATTGTATCTCTGACTTACAGGATTTTTTTTATTTTTTTTTTTGGAAAAACATTGATCAACTCCATTGGAAATCTTCAAGGAGATCATAATGTGCGTGAAAGTTTGCCGATAGAGACTGATATTTTTACCCTACATATAAAATACAACGTTTCTATAATATATTATGTTATATTAAGAAAAAAAAAATTACATTGTATCTCTGACTTACAGGATTTTTTTTATTTTTTATTTTTTTTGGAAAAACATTGATCAACTCCATTGGAAATCTTCAAGGAGATCATAATGTCCGTGAAAGTTTGTGTACCCTTCACGGTCTAGAGTTAATGATTTTTAACAAAAAGAAAACAAACTAGCAAACTTATTAGAAACTTTATATATATATATATATATTTTTTTTTTTTTTCCTAGCTAATATTGGACCTTCAAGTTTACGCGATCTGAAATGACAAAAATAAAAATTATAACAAAAAATTAATCAGCTTAGTTGATTTCTTTGAAAGTGTGAATTGGTATTCTTTGAGGGGTAGTATAGAACTTCAGTGCATAATGGGACATATACATAATGCATTGTTAGACAACACGTGAAGAACCCATTTAGGGGACAAGATTTGTCATTTGTGGTCCTCAAAAGCAACAACTTAACCGGACTACCTCACCATTTAGTTGAGGAAAACCCATGATGAATTTACTGAGACCTATATATGTGTGTGTGTGTGGTATCTTGTAGTGTTACTTTTTCCTTAATTTGTTCAGGTAATGAGCGATGTTGTAAACTGACCAAAATAGACAATTTTCAGTTGTCAATTTACTTATGCTCACTAATAAAAGGAAAGGAGTAGATGTCGGGTTTTACATGTCGTCTGTAAGGACGAAATGTCTAATATTACTATAGATGTCGCCCGTAAAATATTCGAAATTACAATAAAGCATCTTTGTAATTTAGACAAATTACTACGTAGGCGTAAAGAGCTCTTACAATGACCTCCTAGCTAGACAAAGTTAAGCATCTGTACTTTGGAAATTAGATAAATGTTGCTTTCATAATGGACAGTAGTACTGTCACTACTTTTAAATTTTTAGTAATACTTTCACTTGACACATTAGGAATAATTAGCAGAAAATGAAAGCGTCATTTTGTTGAACACGTGTGGAAAATAAAGTACTGGCTTTTTAATATTTGTCGACTAAATTATTGACGAGCATTTACCCTTAGATGTTGCAATATTGCTAACTAGCTAAATTGTTTCATGCCTGTGTAGACGCGTGGGTGGTTGATATCAATCAAGATATATCCAAGTATTGATGGATTATACCTTTTGCCATATATATATATATATATATATAATATAGGCCGGCAAATGAAACATACCAAGTATTGTATTGAGGTTATACAAGGATTCCACATTTAATTTGCATGTTATTTGTTAGTTGAGAATTATCATGCTTAATTAAGAGACGCCAAATTCCAAGCCAAAACAAAAGGAATCAAGTCAAACCATTCAAGTAAAACGAGAGATGTATATATTAGTTTTTTTTTCTTTCTTTCTTTCTTTTCCTAAGAAGAGAAGCTATAACATTCATTCCCATGATGTGTAAAAGAATCACTTTCAAGAAATAATATTAATATATGCATACTTGGTAAAGAAAACCATATGCTCCATCAGCCAAATGATAAAACATAAATATAACTAACTTGTCGATATATCATGTGACACATACATACATTGTGAGCCATATATATATATATATATATATATATATATGTATATATCTACATTAGATCAACGATTAAATGCTGGTGGAATACTAAAGAATACTAGAGTGAGGTCATTATTTTGAAAAATTATTAGATCATGATACTAGTATAAGTATCATTATCGGCTTTATGAGTTTTTTTTTTCCCTCTGACAATACTGTGTAATACGTTAGAAAAGCATGTGAGTTAGGATTTTCTCCTAGCGAAAAGAAAGGAGGAGATCATCTCCACACTAAGAACTATCGATAGATTTTCATTTTTTTTTATCAGATGTAACAGTCAAAACTGAGTACTATTTACTGATAAAATTCAATAAAATGTCCTATCATAAAAGGACCCAATAAAAAGTCTCAAATTATACGTGAAAATTAAAAACTATTGAAAAGGAAACCTAAGCATGTACTTAGGGTCAAAGACTCCAAAGCATCCAAAGATCCAAATAGGTTGGATTAGAATTGGTTTTTTTCTTAAACCTAGTATAAGCGTTGGCACAAAGCCGATAATGATGCCTTTGCCAGGAAGAAAAGGGCAAAAAGAAAACAAAAAAGAAAACAAAATAATAATAAAAGAATTAACTACGTGTCGTGTCACTATTGGATGACGTGAGTGAACTATTTCCTTGTTGACGAAAATGCAACGTACTGTAGTGCATGCGCAGCGTCTAACCAATCAAACATACGACCGTCCGCACAAGTCACTGTACTGTGACGTGCACTGTGCTTTTAGTACACGTGTCAACCGCTGATACGGTACACTATTTTTACTTTTCTTTAAGATACGAAATTAGATTTTTTTATTTTTATTTACTGGGCGGAAAATTATGGGGAACTGGGTCTTAGAATTAACCTTTATTTTTTTGTTGTTGCTTTTTCCCACTTTATTCCCTTTATCCTAGTTGTAAGTAAAGTATAATATTTCCCGACAAGAATTTTCTTTTCGAAAAATCATTCTAATGTACAGAAAGCAAGTCGAGCTGACCAGTACTACTTTAACCGATTAATATTAGAACCGTACATTTTCTAAAGAAATCTATTTATAGAATTTGTTTTCAATCCGATTCCATAATGTAACCCAAAAAAAAAAGGAGTCTAATATGATACTTATTTATGCAACAATAATTTTGAAAATGTGCAATACTGATCTACAATAAAATTCTAATTTGTTTTTTCACTAGAAGAACTAAGAAGATGGTTCATGGTTCATTTTGTTTATAATTTCAAAAAAAAAATAATAGAATTTGACTCAATTCTACATAAAAGTTGAACTCAATTTTACTCTTAAAATTACAAATTCAGTGCCGCATAATCTGTTAACTTGAAAAGGATCTTAAAGTGAGATTCTTGAGTATCAAAAACTTTAAC